CAAGCCACTCCCCGTGGGGAGCACCGGTTCTTTTCGTGAAAAAGAAAGATGGGACACTTCGAATGTGCATTGACTATCGTCAACTGAACAAGGTCACAATCAAGAATAGGTATCCTTTGCCTAGGATTGATGACTTGTTTGACCAACTACGAGGAGCAACTGTGTTCTCGAAGATTGACTTGAGGTCGGGGTACCATCAATTGAAGATCAAAGAGGATGACATACCGAAGAGTGCTTTCCGCACTAGGTATGGACATTTTGAGTTCCTTGTTATGTCGTTTGGGTTAACAAACGCCCCGGCGGCATTCATGGACTTGATGAACCGAGTATTCCACAAATACTTGGACCGATTCGTGATAGTGTTCATAGATGACATCTTGATCTACTCAAAAAGTGAGGAGGAGCATGAGGAGCACTTGATACTCGTTCTTGAGACGCTACGGGAGAAGCAACTCTATGCCAAGTTTTCTAAATGTGAATTTTGGCTTAAGGAGATTGGCTTTCTCGGGCATGTGGTTTCGGGATCGGGGATTGCTGTTGATAACAAGAAGATCGAGGCCGTCACCAAATGGGAGAGGCCAAAGAATGTCAAGGAAATTCGTAGTTTCCTTGGATTGGCGGGTTACTACAGGAAGTTCGTGGAGAAGTTCTCCGTTTTGGCATCGCCATTGACAAAGCTCACTCGGAAAGGGGCTAAGTTTGTATGGGATGACAAATGTGAGAAAGGATTCATTGAACTGAAGAAGAGATTGACTGAGGCACCGATACTTGCTTTACCTAAACAGGGTATGGGGTACGATGTCTATAGCGACGCTAGCATCCAAGGGTTTGGATGTGTGTTAATGCAAATGGGGAGGGTAATTGCCTATGCTTCACGACAGTTGAAGAAGCATGAGGTAAATTATCCTACTCATGATTTAGAGCTCGGGGCAGTGGTGTTTGCACTTAAGATATGGAGACATTATCTCTACGGGGAGACGTGCCACATATACACCGACCACAAGAGCTTGAAGTACGTGTTTACTCAGAAAGAGTTGAACATGAGGCAAAGACGGTGGATGGAGTTGATAAAAGACTACCACTTGGTGATTGAGTACCATCCAGGCAAGGCCAATGTGGTGGCAGATGCCTTGAGCCGGAAGAGCTCATCTGGGGCATTGATAGCTAACTTGAGGGCTTTAAGAGCCCAACTGGAGGTGTCCAGTAATGGAGCCTTATTGGCACGGTTTGAGGTGAGACCTACATTGCTTGATGAGATCAAGAAGAGCCAGGGAACTGACGAAGAAATTATAAAGATCCGGGAACGCATGCAAGCGGGACCGGTGGAGGACTTCAGGGAAAGAGATGATGGTCTCTTACTATTTCGTGACCGAGTGTGTGTACCGGCAGATGATGAGCTCCGAAAGTCCATCTTAGAGGAAGCTCATTCATCGGCTTATGCCATGCACCCGGGGGGCACGAAGATGTACCGTGACTTGAAAGAGAGTTACTGGTGGTCAGGCATGAAAAGGGAGATAGCCGAATACATTAGCCGATGCCTTACTTGTCAGCAGGTCAAAGCAGAACATCAGCATCCAGCTGGGTTATTGCAACCACTTTCCATTCCAGAATGGAAATGGGAGCACGTGACCATGGATTTTGTGGTAGGACTGCCACGGACCGTGAGGAATTATGATGCTGTGTGGGTTGTGGTTGATAGGCTCACGAGGAGTGCACATTTTCTACCTATCAACACTACCTATGCACTTGAGAGGTTAGCCAAGTTGTATGTGGATGAGATCGTGAGGCTACATGGGGTTCCTATAACCATTGTGTCCGACAGGGATCCACGATTCACATCACGATTTTGGCCGAAGTTCCAAGAGTCTATGGGAACGAAATTGAAGTTTAGCACTGCTTTCCATCCACAGACGGATGGACAATCCGAGAGAGTCATACAGATTTTAGAGGACATGCTGAGATCTTGTGCATTGGAGTTCCAAGGAAGTTGGGACAATCATCTAGCACTGGTAGAATTTGCCTATAACAATAGTTATCAGGCGAGTATTGGTATGCCTCCATACGAGGCATTGTATGGGAGGAGGTGTCGTACACCGTTGTGTTGGGACGAGGTTGGCATGGCCAAACTTGAGAGCACGGAGTTGGTGGAGATCACCAAGTCAAAAGTGAAGATGATTCGAGAGAGGCTTAAAGCGGCCCAGGATAGACAGAAGAGCTATGCCGACAAGCGCCGGAGGGCCTTGGAATTTAAGGTGGGAGATGAAGTGTTCTTGAAAGTTTCTCCTTGGAAAGGAATCATCCGATTTCAAAGCCGAGGGAAACTAAACCCACGCTACATAGGGCCATTTGTGATTCTCGAAAGAATCGGGGCCGTAGCATACCGTTTGCAGTTGACTCCAGAATTGGAGAAGATACATAACGTGTTCCACGTGTCTATGCTAAAGAAATATGTGCCGGATCCATCTCACGTGTTGGAGAAACCACCCGTGGAGATACGTGAGGACTTGAACTATGCCGTTCGACCGGTAAGGATACTTGATAGACAAGTAAAGAAACTACGAAGCAAGAAGGTTCCAATGGCGAAAATCCTTTGGAAAAGTGACCGAGTCGAAGAAGAAACTTGGGAAACGGAAGCCTTGATGAAGGAACAGTATGCATTTCTTTTTGAATAGGCATTTGTGAATTTCGGGGACGAAATTCCCGTTAAGGGGGGGTGAACTTGTGACACCGCACCCGGATGTACTTGAATTTGAAATGTGACATGTATTTGAATTTCCTAGCGAATAAATTTCGTGTAATTGGTTGGTATATTTAATTAATGTGAGATTAATTAAATTATTTATCAGGTCCATAAAATGAGAACGGACTACCAAAATATTTAGTTGGGTCATCATAATAATGTTAGGAGCCCAATAATGTGCCAACCGAGGTTGATAAAAATATTTGGACAACCCGAGTGCTATTTTGACCCGACCGGCCAGAAATAGCAGGAATAATTGGGAGAAAACTTTCTACACCCATTTGGGGTATCCTACACACTAATTAGACTCAAATGATAAGGGAGGGGGGCCACACATGTTGTTTTGTGCGTGCATGAAGGGAGAGGAAGCCTCCATGAGACAAAACCAACACCCCCATGACCCCATCACCAAGCAAATGAGTTGATTGACTTGGTGATGCCTCTCCCCTATCCTCTTCATTCTCGGCCAACCATAGGAGAAGAAGAGCTCCAAGAAACCCTCTCACCAAGGTCACAACTTGAAGGGAAAAATCTGGGAAAATCCACAAGAAGTAGCTTGAGTTCAAGGTAAGAACTCTACTACCCTTCTTTAACTAGTTTTGTGTTGTATGATTTTTGAGAAATCATATGATGGATTAAACCACGAGTTTTACACGTTTAAGGGTGTATAATATTGTTATATAGTGGTGGTAATTAACTTAGAAGAGTCGTGGAATCGATAGGAGTTGAAACCATCGGAAACCGCCAAGGAGAAGAAGCTGTTCGTAGTTGCAGACTATGAAAGCCGCCCGGCTTTGGTGAAAGCCGCCCGGCTTTTGGGCTACTGTCCAGGGATTTCACTTTCAATCGGCCTAGAACGGGGATTGATCGAGGGGCTTAACAAAGGCAACTATTGTAGCACATCATAAGGTGAGGATGGCTGACTATATTGCTTATAATCTTTGGGTTAATTTCATGAGATTACCTAAGGTAATTAAATATGTTTTTAAGGATTATTAATGATTAATAATGCCTAAGAATGGGAAGACTATGGTCTATAAGGAAAAGAGTATAACATACAAATTTGTAAGAGATTGTGTATGATTATGTGATATGAAAGAAATGGTATGGTAATGGAATTAACTATGAAAATTGTGATAAAATATACTTTACTTCATGTATGAAATTCATGAATGGATAAAAGTGATATTTTTGATATTGGGATTAAATCATATTTGGATTGGAAAATCAATTGAGATAACTATTTGGCTATGAATTTAGAACTTGGTTGTTCTAAGGTTATTCGACTAGTATCAAAATACTAGTCGGGAGATTTATATAAATAAATGATGGAATTAATCCTAAGAGATAGGATTGTGAATAGATATGCCTTAAGTAGTCTTAAGAGATGCTTTAAGGTCGAATTGTACGAACACTAAGGTGTGTTAGGGGTAGGCCTAAAGGCCATCCAAGTGAATTGATTCTAGGCATAAGATTTGCTTGAGAATTGAGCTATGAAAATAAATTAGAGTCGGACTCTAGGATTACATGGAAATGTAGTTGGGCCGAGCCCTTGCCATGTAACGTGATTAGCATGGAAACGTAGTTGGGCCGAGCCCTTGCCATGCATTGTGATCTTCATGGAAACGTAGTTGGGCCGAGCCCTTGCCATGAAGTTATGGTTGGTATGGAAACGCAGTTGGGCCGAGCCCTTGCCATACAAATTTAGATATATCAAATTGAGTTAAAGGATTGTATAGAAATGTAGTTGGGCCGAGCCCTTGTTATACAATCGGGACTCGAGGGAACCCTATGGGGTTGTCGTGACTCATGGTCACGGAAAGTGAAAATGGAAAATTCTAAATGAATATGGGCCCACGGGCCGACTACTTGACTTTATATAAAGTAAGTATATTTATAAAACAGGGTAACCGGGGGTTACGGCCTACGATATAATATCACTCTATTTGAGGGTCTTAAGAAATTGAAACATTGATTATACTTAGTATAGTTGTCATTGTACTTGTCAAATGCTTCCAAGTACTGACCTCCCCTTCACGGGGGAGGCCACCTCACAGTTTCAGGTAGAACTTGAAGAGTTGCTGCCACCACCCGTTGCTTCGGGGAGATCAAGGGAAGAAGACGTGGTTCGTGCTTCTTCCGTTTCTGTTTTGAAAACAATCTAAATAATGCTCATGGATATTATTTTGAATATTTATTTGGGGCTTGTATGCCCGTGTTTGCCACGTGTGGCTCGGATATTATATTAATGTTTCCGCTGCTTTAATTAATTATTTTACAATATGATTGTTTATGGATGTACTATTGTGAATGATATTCAAGACGCCTTGTATAGTATGGACGAGTTGGACTGCGGTTGACTATTCGTACTGTACGGCGGGTTGTTGACGTGTCCGGGTAGGTCCGGGGCGTGACACGATCACCCCTGAAAGAGTAATGTGATCACCCCTGGTCATATAAATCCTTCTAACGACATAATATGTAGCAGAATTGACAATCATTATTGTAAACCTAAAACTAAAGTCATCAACAAAAAGTGAACCACCGTAAACAAACATAACACGAAAATAAGACCATAAAAATAAAAGGGAAAAGGTACAAATATACCCTTCTAGTATGGGTGTTGGAACAAATATACTCATGTTCTATTTTTTAGAACAAATATACTCCTGAAGTTTATGTGAAAGTGCATATATACCCCTGAACTTTTAAAAAGTGCAAAAATGCCCCTCATATTCCTATAAAGGAGCAAATTTACCCTTATTGACTTTAAATATATAAAATAAATTTCTAAAAACACAAAAAATAAATTATAAATTTGAAATTTTAAAATAAAATAAAAATAAAAAACTACTTGTGTCCAATTCTCCATTTTATTAATTTTAGATCACCATTTAATATTGTTAGTATAAAATTTACTCTATATTTAAGATTCTTTTCGAAAAGTGTTAACATATGTGTTGCATTGTAAAAAATATATTAATTTCTCGTATTCTTTGCACTATAAAATTACATTTTTTGTATGATGATAAATAGTCCAAGATTACAAAATAGTAATATTTTTTATTAAGGTTAAATAAAATCAAAGAATGTTATTTAAAAAAATGTAACAATTTTCAAATTTTGCAACAAGTCTAAAATTAATACTTATGAATTTCAAGTGCTTCATTTACAACGGAAAAATAATAATTTTGCTATTTAAAATTAAAGACTTAATATTTTAACATAAAAATAAATCTTTATTTCGAACTCTTTAGAATGTATAATTTATTTTTAGTGTTGTAAAATTTACTTTTTATTTATTCAAAGTCAATAAGGATAAATTTGCTCCTTTATATGAACATGAGGGGTATTTTTTCACCTTTTAAGAGTTCAGGGGTATATATGCACCTTCACATAAACTTCAGGGGTATATTTGTTCCGAAAAATAGAACAGGGGTATATTTGTTCTCACACCCATACTAGAAGGGTATATTTGTACTTTTTCCCAAAATAAAATAACACGCAAATACTTCAAACTCCTTCCTGATTGTTTTCTTGAAATATCATCTTCCAAACTCTGGCATCTCAATCGATCCAAGGCGGCAGTTCAGGAAGGGGACGGACCGCCGATCTGTATTCTCCCTTGCTCAGCCGTTCATCACCCGTGCCGTGGGCCGGAACCAAATCTGTCAACCCTTGAGCCCCAACTAGATTGTCAATACCCCTGCAATTCCGATTCAGCACATCATGCCGTTGCGAGAAGAAACAAAACACACTTCCGTCAGATCAATTCAAACCAAAAGTTGGTAGAAACCTCTGCCAGACCAATCCAAAACAACCGCCGGATTAATCCAACAAAAAATAGAAGAAATCTCTGTCGGACCAAGCCAAAAACAGATGCCGGAACAAACCCCCTAGGATATACCTAGACAATGACCGCCGATTATATCCTACTAAAAATGTGAAATTAAAAATGGGAATAATATTTTTTCTCTCTTAAATAGGGCTAATTATTACTACCAATCATATTTGAAAAGTACTGCAAATTATGACATTAACACTATTATATTAATGCTAGTAATGCCAAAAGTATGCCAATTTGATCAAAGGATGAGTGGTGTAATTTTCTCCAAGAAAAACATGACCTTTATTTTGAGATTTCAAAATTTTTTGCCTCCCATTTTGAAAAGTGTTAGATATAAATAATTTGACCAGTGGCAAATGACCACACTAGAAAGGACAAGTAGTTGATTTTTCAAAGCACAAATAAAAATATAATTAAATAGTGTTAAAAATACTCTAATCTTATTAAAATCGTATCAGTTTTCCCAGAAATATATATTCTTTAAGGGAAAACGGTCAAATAGGCCCCCATACTTTTCAAAAAAAATCAATTAAGCCCCAAACTCAAAAGACATTCAATTAAACACCTAAACTATTAAGCCCCGATTAAAACCCATTAGGGAGATCTGATGTGACATTTCTTTTCTATGTTCTTTTTTTCTTTCTTCCTCCTTCCGGCTCACTTTCTTTCTTGCTCCTGCCCGCTTAGCTTTCTTGCTCCCTCCCTGCTCCAGTTCTGTTTCTTAATTTCCTCCCTGAATTTCAGAAGCATGGAGGCTTGTGTAGCAGAGCATACGAACACACTTAGTAATTGGGGATTTCGTCTAAGCTAGGGTTTTTCATAGCAGGCATTGGTGGATTCGGATCCTCTGGATCCGGCATTGTTGGTGAGAAATTTATGTGATTGGGTTCGAATAGAGAGCAGACATAGAGAGCACGATATTAATTCCATTCGACGGTGTTAAATCGCTCTTCACCGTCTTCAATGGAATCGAAATTTTGGGGAGTGTTCAAAAATGAAACTCGAACCACCATTAATGGTGGTTGAGTTTCATGGCATTATTACATGTGAAATTGCAATCTCCAGCCGTCCAGATCGTTGAACTCATCATATAACTCATAGCTTCGGCGGTCCAGTCCAGTGGAAAGAAGATGAGATGCGTGCTGGTAGTTGTGGTTGCGTTGGACATGGATGGAACCGACGAGATGAAAGTTGTAAGAAGGAAGAAAAATAAAAAATAGAAAAATAGAAAAATAAAAAATAAAATGTGTCGCCACGTGTCACCGCGTGTGATAGTTTACTTAGTAACCGGTTGGAAACCTCACAAAGGGCTTATTTGCACGTTTTTCTAAGTTTAGGTGTTTAATTGAATATCTTTTGAGTTTGGGAGTCTAATTGTTTTTTTTAAAAGTTGGGGGGCTTATTTGATAGAAAGACATTGGCATAGAGTGGGAACAACTATGATGATTATACCGTTGTGACTAAAAAAATATAAGTAGTCATTGTGGACATATAAAAATTAATGGGCCAATCATATTGGACCTCATTAAAACGATATTGGGCTGATGTCAAGTTCTACTGAGCTACTTGTGATGGTTATTGGGCCTGATAAAAAAAGAGGAAAATATTAATATAGGCTCATTCGAATATAATTTAGTGATTAAATTAATTTGGATCGCTCAAACGTCCAATTAATTTAACTATAAATTAAATCTTTAAAAGAATGTACTGGTCCTATTAATTTCAAGCCCAATATGAAATAGTGACCCAATCACTAAGAGGCATGATCCAATTGATAAAGAGAGCGATGAATCTGGCTAAGAAATGTGTCCATATGCATGAGAAATAGCTCTGAACCTTGTTAAGAATGCTGTCCAGAGACATTATATAAGTGCTGATTTTTATGGCTATTAAAATGCAAGCAAATAGAGCCCGAAGCCCATTTTAATTGGGGCCCATGGGTATGGACGAATTTATGCAACCCTAAGCCATATTTTCACCCCCTCCACACCTATAAATAGGGTCTCAGTTGAGAGGAATGAAAGAGAACTTCCAGACGAAGAAACGCTGCAGCAAAGCTCTGAAGAAATCCCGAGAGGCTCTGAACGATTCCGAAGAAGAGGAAGAGATCAAGCCACGATTTTGTCAAGAATATATGAATAATCCTTTGTGATTTCATCTATTCTTGATAAAATAAGTTCAAAAGCTGAAGAATGTTCGAAGATCTGAAGAACGAAGCTCGATGATTCGAAGATCCGAATAACAAGACTTTGAAGATTCGAAGATATGAAGAACGAATCTTTGAAGATTTGAAGATATTCATATGAAGATTGAATCAAAATTCAATTGAAGATCAAGCCATATATCCCGGGAGGCCCTTAAACAGAAGATTAAGCCATAAAACGGCCCTTTTGTTGAAGATCAAGCTACTTGAAACCGGAGGCCCTTCAATCTGAATTCTTTATTCAAGAAGATTTGAAGATCCAAAGAACGAAGATTCGAAGATCTCAAGAACGAAGATTCAAAGATTCGAAGAACGTTCGAATATTTGAAGGATTAGAGATTTAATTTTAAATTAAATTCTTTAATTATATTACTTCAAATTGCAAGTGAAGAATCAGAGGATTCATATTTAGAGATTGTACCCAATATTCTCATATTTTATTATTTGCGATCAATTTTAAGTAAATACTTAAAATTTGTTTCACAAATTTTTTGGCACGCCCGGTGGGACAACTCTACCTCTCATCTCTTCACTTTTAATCAAGGAAAACGAAACAATGGCGTCAAGCAAGCCCGTGTTCACGTTGAATTCTCGAGCATCGTCAAGCTCAAATCAAAACATGCAAGGCCCTATCACTAGGAGCCGGTCAAGAATCCTGGCTGCGCAGTCATCTTCGGGAACTACTCCCAATGCAATGGATGGATCTCGAATTGCGCAAGAAATGGCCTGGAAGCTTTCTTCACCCATACGTGAAGTTACTTCCCCGAAGTGGACAAGCGGAGGTGAAAGCTCATCATCTGAAGCAGACTCTACTCCCCCATCAAGTCCTCCACGAAGAACTACTCCGCGGTGGTCAAATGTCTACACCGTCATGCCCACTATGACGACAAGCACCACATCTATGGAAGAACAAATCGCCCATCTAACTAAGGTCATCGAGGGGATGAGTATGTTCATGCAGTCTCAAGACCAAAAGTTGAATGATCTGAACAACAAAGTAGAAAGCTTGAAAGGTGAGTCAAGTCATACTCATGAAAAGGATCCCGAAATGCATGAAGAGAATGATCCTCACCAAGAAGATTCGGGGAAGGATATCTCAACTTCTGGGGGCATGATCCCGATTGATCAACTTAAAGACTTCATCATGGGAACCATAAAGGGGAAGATGGAAGGAAGCAAATCTACTTACTCCTATGTTAAGCCATACACTCAAAGGATCGAGGATCTAAAGATGCCCATTGGTTACCAGCCACCGAAGTTCATCCAGTTTGATGGGAAAGGAAATCCAAGGCAACATGTTGCCCATTTCGTGGAAACTTGCAATAATGCGGGAACAAGCGGGGATCACCTTGTCAAACAGTTCGTGCGTTCTTTAAAAGCAAATGCCTTTGACTGGTATACTGATTTGGAGCCCGGTTCCATTGATAGCTGGCAAGATATGGAACATGAGTTCTTAAACCGTTTCTATAGCACAAGGAGGGTGGTGAGCTTGCTTGAGTTGACAACTACTCGCCAGTGGAAAGATGAGCCCGTGATAACCTACATCGAGCGTTGGAGAGATCTTGCCCTCAACTGCAAAGATCGGATCTCTACAAACTCCGCAATTGATATGTGCATTGAAGGTATGCACTGGGAGTTATGTTATATTCTCAAAGGAGTGAATCCAGCCACTTTCGATGAATTAGCAAGCAAGGCTCGTAACATGGAGTTGAGTATTGCAAGCAATGGAAGACAAGCTATGGGCATCTATCCCATGAACAATGCTGCTGAAAAGCAAGATACCAAGAAAGGGGGCAAGCCTTTTTCTAAATTAGAAAAGAAAGAAGCAATGGTTGTGAAGGCTTCACCAGTCAAAGTCTTCACTCAAAATACCGAGAAGGCAAAGCAAGTTGCTAGAGTTGAACCTGAAGCCTCGGGGCGTGTCAAGCCGACTTTGCGAGAGATGATGGAGAAACAATATCCTTTCTTGGAGTCTGATGTTTCTCCAATGTTTGATGAACTGACGAGGTTGAAACTTGTTGATTTGCCTCAGTCAAAACGACCAGAAGAAGCTACAAAGGTCAATGATCCTAACTACTGCAAATATCATAGAGTGTTGAGTCACCCGATAGAGAAGTGTTGGGTGTTCAAAGACAAGATTATGGCTTTAGCCCGTGAAGGAAAGATTGAACTTGCTGATTCTGCAGCAAGCACAAACCAAATTACCATTACATTTGGTAGGTTTGCTCCGCTTATGATCAATGATGACCCAAAGCATAAACTTCCTTTTACTGTCAAGAGGACGAAAGAATGTCCTTCTCTCACTAAAGGAATGGCATTTGAGGATGTTGATGACAAAGGGAGACCGTGGATTTTGGTTGCCCGAAAGAAACAAAAGAAGAACCACAAACCTAAGCCACAACCGAGGAAAATGGTAAAGAAATGGGTCATGCAAAAACCGATAAACGAGCTGAAGAAAAAGAAACAAAGAAATGATCGTGTTCGTTCCAAGGTTGCACGGAAGGTGATTACTCTTAACGATTATATGCCAAAGGATTTCAAGAACAAAGTAACTCAAATTTCGAGTTCTTGCCTTAGCACACATGAGAAAGAAGTTGAGGGTTCAAGTAGATGTTCAAATCCAGTTTCGACTAAGCAAGAAATGGTCGAAGCACAA